ACGTAATATTATAATATGTTTTATAATATTGTAATTATATTAACCATTTTAATAATATTATTATATTCTATATCATAATTATATAATATGTTATTTAATAATAGTTTTATTGTATTATATTAAATATAATAATAAATATACATTATATTGTACTTATATATGTTATATTATAATATAATATAATATGATCATTATTTTTAATTATTTCAATTATTATTTTAATAATATTATTATATTCTATATCATAATTATATAATATATTATATAATAATAGTTTTTTTGTATTATATTAAATATAATAATAAATATATATTATATTGTAATTATATATTATATTATAGTATAATATAATATAGTCGTAATTTTTAACTACCTATAGTAATTCAACTTTATAATTTACCAAATGTTATTACATTAATTTTAGAACCAGTACAACTACTATAATTATAGTTTACCAAACACTTAACTGCCTTTTGTAACAGCTGTTTTTTCTTTCAACACAGCTAAAAGTAATTTTTTCAAAATCTATAGCAATACCAAACTAAGCCTTTGTCTTCATCTTTCAATGAACCTCTTCACACCTAAAGGGGTAGCTGATACGAGATGGGGTGGTAATTTTGATATGATACGATAATGTGATTTGAACTTGAAATCTATGATATGATTGACACGAGATTAACTTGAATTGTTTTTTTTATATATATTAAAAAATAGACAATGTTGTAAAAGAATAAATTTTAACAAATTTAATTTAAATAAAATGAAAAGTTAAATTCTTAAAGCAAAGTTATAAATGAATGGATTAATTAAGAGTAAGTGAATGTACCAGATTTGCAATAAACGGATGTGATCCATGTGTTTTATCGACACGTATACGATCCAAATATATATATATATATATATATATTGAACTTAAGGTTTCAAATAATAATATGATGATGGTTCGCAAAGAGACTTGAAGCATAGATTATTTTGGCTTCGTGAATTTGAACTTCGAAAGTAACATATTAGCATATGTTGGGTTGCCACTTGCCACACTACGCACGATTTCTCCCCTGATCAATGCATTGTCCATGTAAGTTGTTAGCCAAACGTAAATTATCTTTTGTATTCGGTAAAGAAAAAATAACGAGAATAATTGCATTTTATTGGTGACGTCTTTTGGCATGTTGCCTGGCGCCAACCATAAAAATAAAAATACACTTTAACTTTTCCCTTTTTTTCACGGTGGATCTTGAATTTTTAATTTTAATAATATACAACTCAAACTTTAAAATCAAAAGTAATTATGATTTAATAGCTAACGAATATTGTCAAAATAACGTTTAAAATAAGAAATTCACATGTAAAAAGTAAATATTATTATTTATTAAATCATGTCATATGTAAATTGTATGGCTCCAATTGTTAATTTAATAATGTCATTAGTTATTTAACTTTAATTGTTACTCACTTTAAAATTAAATGTGTATTTTTTCAAAATTAGAAATATGAGATTCATAAAATAAAGAACAAATAGTTTGAGATGTAAAGGAGCAATTTACTCTAAAAACAAAGGCATAATAACTTCTTAAGTCTTAACTTTGCAATTGTTTGGAATGCAACCGACAGTTTACAGTTTACGATTTCTTTTCTAAATTTTTGGAACGAAATTCAAGAGGCAACCACTGGATTCTACAAAACGTTCCTTTTTATTATTTATTTATTATTATTATTATTATTATTTTGTAAAATTTGATTGCATACCCATACCCTTACAAGCAAAACTTACGTGGCTGCTGCGTAATGAATTCCATTTTAAAAGTGGACAATTATTAAAGGTTTGTTTGCCGTGGAAAATTATTGCAATGTGCGTACATCTTTTTTTTTTTTTTTTTTAAATAGGGGGCAATGTGCCAAAGGTGCCATGAACTTTTTATACAAAATTGTCAGAACTAATTCATGAAATGATCCTTATAAGTTATAAATCATCATCCCAATGATCATAATGTTTTTAGTGATCCTAACTTTTCTTGTAATTGACATAATACATAAGTTGTCAATTAAAATAAGTATTTAAACATTTATCAAGTTATTTGAATTTGAATAGTTGTCATTTTCCAATAAAAAAATAGCGACTCATTTATCACATGAGCTCCTTTTAGAAAATTTTATACAAGAGTTAGAATGACAATACTAAGTCATAATACCAAAAACCACTTTCCATTTCCATTGTAAGATACAAGTTTCAATTATTATTTTGACAATTTATCCCTGATGTATCCCCCTTTTACTATGACATTTAGTTAGCAAACATAAAAATCAATGGCCGCCTTACTTTCAACTACAAATCCTCAAATTTCAATTCAAATCTTAACACAAATCACTCAAATTTTTAAATCAATCAGTAAACACAATCCAAAAAAGGTTAAAATAGGACACATTACAATAATTTAGATGACGTTTGGTTAATAGGTTCAGAATTATGGTTAATGATTCTGATTTTTGAAATTTAAATTTTTTATGAGAGAAAAATACTGTAGCGAACCAAGAATCATGATTCAGAATGAGGCTAGAACCCTCGAAACAAACGTAGCATTAGTAAATTTAGGAGGTAAGGTGTTAAAATTAAAAGTTTAAAGAGCAAATTATCAAAAAAATAAAAATAAAAATTTTAAAAAGGAAAAATGAAGGAAAGAAGAGTAAAACTGTTTTCGTGGAGTAGGCCGTGTAAGTCGGGGGAGAGAGGGGTGGTGATTTACTGATTCCTCTCGTATTGGCTGGCAAAATATCGAACGTTACTATCCCAACCATGCCAAAAAATTGAAGCAGAAGAGAAAAGAAATGAAGTAGTTATTGATTTAGATATTAGTTATCCAAAAAAGTCAATTAAGTCACTATTCCCTTTTCCCCAACAAACGACAGAACAGCAAAATATTATTGGATCATATCCATTGCCTCGCAAAATTTCTCTTTTTTCTCCTTTTTCCCCCTATCTTTCATTCTTTTTCTGCTTTTGGGATTCTACCTTCTATTTTCATTTTAATCATACATACACAGGCTAACATTGATCAAAACAAGGAAGAAAAGTACAAAATTATGGTGTAACAATTTTATAAAGAGAAATAACGTTTGTAGATACGAAGTTAGCTAGAAGAAAGATATCATATAATATATCTGGGGTAGGATTGTGGAATGGAAGGATTGGATGGGTTCATAGAGAGATTGTTGGAAGGAAGGAAGAACAAAGGCAAACGGATTCAGCTGATCGAGTCCGAAATCCGACAACTTTGCATCAAAGCCAAAGAGGTTTTCCTTAGACAGCCTATGCTTCTTGAGTTAGAAGCTCCCATCAACATTTGTGGTACGTTTGTTTTTGCACTTTTCTTTTTCTTTTATTCCTCTTCTTGTTCATCTTTTTGATATTTTATTTATTCCTGATTTTTTTTTTCTTTATTGAACAATAAAACTCCGTCATATAGAATTCTTGTTTGATGAATAATAAGCTCAAAAATGTTTTCAGGCCCTTGATCAGTTAGGTAGATCAGGGATATTTTCATGTTATAACTCTTCTTAAGCATTCTCAATTACTATGCATTTGTGATGTTGTTAATAGGCTTTTCAAACGGTAGATTGGCAATAATAAGGTTGTTGATATAATATACCAATACTTTTTAAAAAAAAATCAATCACTTCTATGCCAAAATGTGTGACCAACATTGTAAGGGATAAATATACTCTCAAGTTTCAACATTCTTTTAGGTGATCAAATAGCAATGTTATGAGTGGTTGAAAAAGGAAAAATAAAATAAAAATGATACTTTGCATTTTTCACTCAGAAATGCTCTTCCCCTTTGCTACAATATGGATTGATCTTTGGCATAATTACTTAATCCATCCAATTCTAAATACCAAAGCTCATGTTTGTTTTTACATAGACCCCTATTGTATTGGAATTAGGCTCCCTTTTACTGTTGTCAACTAATCTCTTCAATGTTCGATTCTACTCTATGTTAGAACATTTCTGTGAATGCTATTCTGATCTAAGTGGTCTTATTCTGTGTCCCGTGCTAGGAAGCATTACTCCTCTTTTCATTCCAAATTCAAGAATACGACCGATACGATTGATTGGTCTGTGTGCCTCTCTTATTACTTTTTTGTATCCCCCTGTCCCTCGGATACAATTCGATCCTTCTACGGCCAAATCTCAATTTGTGGAAAGCCTTCGATGGCTTCCTTATGAAAACATCCATTTTTATTTGGGTATAACTCAAACTGTTATTTAGGATTCAAATCTTAGTTCAGGATTCAAACTGATGTTTGGGAGAAGAAAATTTAAAAACAATTCAAACCATTAACAATGGTTCAAGGACAACTCAAATTGTTGATTTTAGAATTCACCTCCCCCTAAATTCTAACAATCTGAATTGTTGTCAACAGTCTAATAGTTTCAGATTCTACTTTTTCTTTCTTTTCAATTTCAATATTAAAAATGTCATAACTTCTTTATTTTAATTCCGATTTAGATGATTTTTTTTAATGTGTTCATAAAAAAGAGAGGAACAAATCCACACCCATATTGCATAGTTTTAATGTCATTTATAATGAGGTTTTATAAGATTTGTTACAAAACTCTAATGACAGTTTTCAACACTTTATTCAAACATAGTTAGGATTTTATTCATAATTCAAATTACAATTTATTTGCATATCCAAATAACAATTCGGGTCACAGTTTGAATTATTACAGTTCAGATTCTACAATTCTAATAAAAAAAGTTCAAATATTCACGGTTTGAATTGTTGAACCAAACAAAGCCCAAAATAGTTGTGATTGCACTTGGTTTTTTGAAATAACGAGGTTGTGTGTTTGACATGCGTAGATTATTAGAGATGATTAGTAAGAGCGTGAACTTGTCCTCTTTCTGTTTGGTCTATTAAGTGTCACGTGCCCAGATAACATGAAAAACCATACGTACATGTGAAAGCTTTAAGAACATACATTCACATTCTACCCCAAGAAAATGTGAAGAATTGCTGTTTGTTGGCAGGTGACATACACGGTCAATTCCTGGACCTCCTGAGGTTGTTTGAGTACGGCGGTTACCCACCGGATGCCAACTACTTATTCCTCGGAGACTATGTGGACAGAGGAAAGCAAAGCATCGAGACCATATGCCTTCTCCTTGCTTACAAGATCAAGTACCCTGACAACTTCTTCCTCCTGCGCGGAAACCACGAGTGCGCTTCCATCAACAGAATCTACGGATTCTACGACGAATGCAAGCGCCGGTTCAGCGTCCGCCTGTGGAAGATCTTCACTGACTGCTTCAACTGCTTACCAGTGGCCGCAGTCATTGACGACAAGATCTTCTGCATGCACGGAGGGCTTTCCCCAGACCTAGAAAGTTTGGATCAGGTCAGAGCCATTGAAAGGCCTGTTGATGTGCCGGACCAAGGACTCTTGTGTGACCTTCTTTGGGCTGATCCTGATAGGGATATTAAGGGGTGGGGTGAAAATGACAGAGGAGTTTCCTTCACCTTTGGGACAGATAAAGTGGCTGAGTTCTTGAAGAAACATGAGCTTGATCTTGTATGCCGAGCTCACCAGGTATGAATCATGTTTAGTGGGTGTCAATCTAGTTGAAAAGCGTTAAGTTTCTCATGTATCAAATTAATTTAAAACGAAAAGGTTTGATGAACAAGTTTTTGCTTTTAGTTACAATTTGGTGTCTAAAACTATAATTTCATAGTTTTTTTTTTCCCTCTCTGTCTCTATCTAATAGTATATTTTTACATGCCTAAAACAGTTCTCTCTCTCCCTCTCTCTGTCATGGGCAGGTGGTGGAAGATGGATATGAGTTCTTTGCAGACAGGCAACTTGTGACCATATTCTCAGCCCCCAACTATTGTGGAGAGTTCAACAATGCCGGTGCCCTTATGAACGTGGATGCAAGCTTGCTATGCTCATTTCAGATTCTCAAACCTTGGAAAGGGAAAGCCCCACAGCAGGAATAAATAAATCCACGAGACAGATTAGAGAAACAAAATATGATGGAAATGCAAAAGGATAAATCCATGATGAGTGTTACGTGGCAGATTTGTTTGTTTCAAAACATTATTTTTTCTCATTAGTTGTAGATAATTCTTGAACTAAAAGCTCTGTACATATTACTCCTCAAATGTAATTGTTCTGTATTCTCGTGGCATTTTCACCATTTGAACCGTTTATACTAGTGGGTTACCGAAGTTTGTCAGGCCTGTTAAGCTTCCTAATATATTTTAACACGTGCCTCGTAGCTTCAAGAAACTTGTCGAGTGGAAATACCACTTTGCCAAAGCAAGTAAGGGGGGAAAAAACATATTTAGCAAAACCAAAACCAAAAAACAAAAGAGAGAAAAAAGGCAACTAACTTTGAGGGTGTTCTCTTGTAACAACAATGATCCAATTCTACATTCTAGATTCGAATTCAGCAAATTACATTTAGTAATTCGGCAGCAGAGCCTATGGCCGCAACCCCACCTCTTTCAAGAAGAGCGAGAGCCAACTCGCATTCATGCCATCCTCTCAATCCGCTTGCCAACGTCCTCAAGGTCTTTAGCTTCAGTTCTTGAATCCATGCTGGAGCAAAATTCACCATTAAGCCAACTAAACAAGAGACATAAGCTTTCCAAGTGGCAGGATGACAAGCCAGTGCTATTTTTCCTTCCAATACCCCAGCCAGAAAGTCCATGTGGACCCCAACGATGCGTACTCTTTTTGTTAATACCCACTTTGGCAGTTTTCCATGTACACTCCACAGCAAAGAGCCTGAAAGAAGGAATAGATATGCCATGGCGTATCCTTCCACTACACGGGATACAGCACTCACTTCCCCTTGTTTCATATCCTTCCTCGAGAGTAGCCAGGTTGGGATAGTCTCCATGTACAGTTCCTGTACCATCCGAAACCCGCCTGCAACACATAAAAGGCTTGCACCAAGCGTAGCCACCTCCCTTGCCCTTGCAGTGGCAAGGCAAAGTGATGCTTGGCTAGATTTCAAGCGAGGAGATTCTGCAGTTGCCCATCTCAGAGCTGAGGTCCGAGCATACTCTGCAACAAGTTCTACAATCACAACGTTGATGTATAGGACATTCTGCATTGACTGCCAAGAGCGAAGGTAAAGAAATCCAGGTGCAAGAAAACGACGAACACTGCGATCTGAGATGGTGGATCCCAGCAGACCATTCACACCACTTTCATTGGACAATGATGGGGTTAAAACATGGAGTGATCCAAGATATGTGGTGAAGCAACTTCTAAGGAGTTGGGCAACAGATTCTTTATTGTGTCTGAATACAGAACGCGAGCATGAAACAACAATGAAGTCATGCCAGCGCCGGACCTTTTGGGCCCAAAGACTGCCTACAATAGGCATGCCAGGCAAAGGGCAACTTGAGGCACAACTCTCTAAGGCTGGTCCAGCAACAGCATGGATGTAATCGAGACTCTTGTCTAGCTTAAAAGTAATAGTTAAACTCACAAGAGCAGCCATAGGCAGTGGAAGCGTTATTTGTGAAGCCTCTGCAAGTCGTTAAAAAGGAGATTAGCATTCTTTTTTTTTTCCTTTGTTAAGAAAGATGGACTAGCAGTCCTTAAACAACTAATTTCATGTGAAATAACTTTCGAGGACTTGCATAACTTTTTCCTACGAGTTATGACAAAGACAAAATCTGAAAGACAAACCCCAAAATATGTCACATGCCAAAAAAATTATTCTTCCATAACTTTTTTCCTACTTGTTATCACTAATTAAATTATGTGTTAGTAACTATGAAGCAATAAAACTAGAAATCCAATGAAATGTAGAGACAATATGAGGGTTCATATGACAGAGAAGAAAAGAATGGGAAACATCTACCAGAGAAATAGCTTGGAATACTGACGCCAACAGCAGCAAGTATTTCTTTTATTTCAGACTGAACCGATGGAAGCATCGGTGCTGGACTTGGCCAATCATTTCCATTCATTGGGACTGATTTCCATATACCGCGAGTAATTTCTGCAGAGAAGTAACTAATAATAGCAGCAAGGGATGCTGGCAGAAATTCGACAAGATCTCTCAAGCCTGCAAACATTCAAGACCTCATAACAAGGCGTATAAATAAAACCAGAGCAAAATAATAATATTCTGCAGGGAGGAGAGACTAAACCGGGAATAAAAAAGTTCAACAGCAAGAAAAGCATCACCAATTAACCTGTTGTCAAGTCGCGAGAGGAAAGTCTTCCATGAGCACAAGCAGTTAAAATTGCCTCAAGAACAAAAGGAATAGCTTCTAACACCTCCCAGGCAGGAAGGTGCATGGGTCTCTGAAAGGAATCTTCTCCAGAGCTTGTAAAGGAGCCATTACTGGACGATATTGAAGAGTTACCCAATGCAGATCCAGTTTTAGTTATTTTCAAATATATCATGTTTAAGATCTTATTCGCAACTTGATGAACAGGGCTTTCACTAGAGAGGCCAGAAAGAGTTGAAGCCACACAAGACTTGTTTTGCCAATACCAGGTCTGTAATTTCGGGAAGGAATGAACGTATATGCCATTATCAGAGGCATTTTCAATCCGACCTGGATTGCTGTCTGTTTCATACTGAAAAAAGGCAGTGCGGCTATTATGCAATAACAGAAGATACTCCAGACTAAGCTCACCTCCAACTGCTCTGGTGTGCTCCGTAATGCAGTTCTCAAGAGGAGGTCTATAGAACTTCCATAGACGAAGAAGAAAAAGAAATGCTAAAGAAAAAACCATGTAAATGGAGGGATCATCACCCTTGCTTGACTTGGCGCTTAATGTAGTAGGTTCAAGCGAACCAAAGACCTCACAAAGTGGCATCAAAGAAGCAGCAACCTCGGGGACCTGTTGGTATAGAAAAAATTTGAACCACCAGAGTCACCAAGAGCCCGAGTTTCAACTTGCAATGATCAATCAAAGCAATCGATGTATAAAACGCCTCAAGGAAGAATCAGAACTAAAAGGCCAATAGTAGAGCCACAGTGGTTAAAAGACAATAATTTTGACTACTCGTTTGAAGTTCTTTTCATTTTACTTTCTAAGTTGACAAGGAAAAACTAAGAGCATAGTTTAAAAAGTAAACAAAAATGATAACTTTTCCATCCTTCCATGATCGCAAAAATATATGCAAGCACTAATCCCTTATTCCAGCTTCCTTTCAAAAAGTTAAAAAGAAAATTAAGTTTTCATCTCTTTCAATTATCTCAAGGGGAAAAAACAAGAAAAATAATTCATTTCAAAAATTTAAATGAATTAAGGTTAAATTGCTTAAATTTCCAAGTGATGCTCATTTCAGTTGAAAGCAAATTAATTAATTTTCCCAACATGGCCCTGCAACATCAGACTCAATGTCTACAACTTAATAAAGTTTTGGAGGCTAAACTACAAGGGAAAAAAAGATTTAGGGGTTTTAAGTAGCAAAAAAAGACAATCTTAGGGTGAAGTGGTAATTTAACCTAAACCTCAACAATATCCCAAAATCAGTGTACAGCCATGCGGGCATGCACACACAGGCACACCAAAAATAATAAATAAATAACCTGAAACTAAAGTTGATGCTTTCAGCCATTAAAAAAAAAAAAAAAAAAAAAAAACCCTAGTGAAATTGAGAAAAGTACCAATTGCAGAGCCTCAGAAAAACTGTCAATATGCCAATCATCTCAGGATTAATGTTGACATATTGACATATTATTTGAGGTATTAAATTACGGCTAAACGTCTATGGATGAGTATGGACATCCTGATATAATGACAACTATTAGATAATATCATTCAATACATCAAAATTAAACAATTCAGCATTTTATCAAATAATAAGGGCTGAATTATCAAACAATGACAGACGAATGACAGACAAATATACACTATGGCTGCCTCTTACCCAGGGAATGTAACGCAATATATATAAGAGTCTTACCACACCGTGCAAAGAAAATATGTGAACAGTATCAACAGAAGAAGCTCCATAAAGGATGCCACTCAGCATCGGCATATAATCAACGAGGTGACTTCTTTCTCCATTATAGTTGGGAGGTACAGGAGGAGACAGAAGCTTGACCAGAACACGCACCACATGTTCCTGCCAAAAGCAGGCAATTTTAGTAGGTGAAATCCTCTTTAAAAATCTATTCAGGTATTTCTCATCCTGGCTTTCAACCCAAGAAGAAAAAAAAAATAGAATTCGTAGAAATCGAGAAGCTTCCAAAATTCGAGTTCTTCGAGGGTGGAAGCAAGGAAGGGGGAAAGTATTGGGTAATGTATTCGAGTTCTCTCTCTCTCCTCCCCCTCCCCCTTCCTTGAACTCACTTTGTGAGCCTTTTTTTATATCCAGTTGTGGACTCTTATACCCTGTTTGTTTCCGTTTTCATTTCCATTTTTCACGTTTTTCGAGATTAAAAAATAAAAACGGAAACATAAAATGCGTTTGGCTTAAAAAATTTTTAAAAACGAAAACAAAATCGTTTTTTTGTCTTTTGTGAAAAATTGAAAACGAAAAAAAGGTGTTTTCATTTTCTCGTTTTCGTTTTCTGAAAACGGATTTCATTTTTTTTTTTTCATTTTCTTCTCTCTTTTCTGAAACCGTTTGTCTTATATAATGATGTTTATTTAATATATTTAATAATATTATTTATAGTTTCAGTTTTTTTTAAAACTGAAATCAATCTCTGAATAAAACTACCAAACGCATTTCAGAAATAATTTCAAAATGAAAATGAAAATGTTTTCATTTCTATTTTCATATAGAAAACAAAAACATTTTGGAACCAATTCCAAACGCACCCTTAGCGTTTACAAAGTCGATTACAACATTTGGAAGAAAAATGGAGAAATGAACAAGCAAATAAATTTGTTCTATATTTAGGTCAGTATATTGGAGAAATTACTAAATGAGGTAGCTCAGACATAATATAGAAACATTAAAAAAAAAAAAAAGGAACAATTCTAAGTCTTGCATCTATGAATAAATGTGAGTTGAGCAACATACAAATTGCAAAGCACAAGCAAGGACAGTGTCATTTTTCTTAATGGATTTTGACAGAATGACAAAAAGTTTAGGTCCACAAATGTAAAATAGCACCCTCATTGTTCTTGGTCTGCTGCAAGAGAACTTCGATACTAAATGTAAAGTATCAAAATAAAAAATAAAAAAATAAAAAGAAAAAGAAAGGGTTTACTTTCTTATACTGTGGTCCAATCCTTATCAAAACTTCAATGTCAACTTTTTTTTTTTTAAACTAAAGCTGTCTGTAAAATTAAAATAAGTGTTGTGATTCTGTAACAGAAAAGCAAACATTAGAAGCATCTCTGTGCAAAATGAGAATAACAAACTTGCATTGAGAAACTTTACATACCAATGCACCATTATTGTACCTGAGTGTTCCATCCACTTCTCAAAGATGCACCACATAGAATCTTTGCTGCAGCTGACTTCTCTTCCTCTGATCCATGTAGTGCAATATGATACAACTTCTCTATCTCTGCTAAACTTGAAAATGAGAACAAAAAGAAATCAATGAACAGCAAATTTCTCGTTTACAGTTAGAAGTACACAAAAGTTGTAATGTATACCTTGAAGCAGGAGTTGAAACAAGGGAACTAATTAAGTTTCCACTCAAAGGTGCTCCTTCTATAAATTTTGACCAAGGAGACTCTTGAACTGGTGATGCTTCTGACGGCGAGATTGCTGATGCAGGCACATAACCAGGCCAAAAATACGCTGATGTGTCTATAAAATTTCTTGCAATGCAAGCCTCCACGATAAGGTGTCTCATGTTTCCACCTGAAAAGCATATGAATTAGTTGCAAATGACGCTGAGAGACCCTGTAACATGTAGTAAGTAGGTAAGATCAAAACTGAATCATTAAGTTCAAAACAGACCAGAATTTATAAATCCCTGACCATTGCTTCCATAATCTACACGATCCTTTTCGTTTCTGGAATTATGTACAAATCGAGCAGCTTTTGTAACAGCAACATTAGCCGCACCAACAACTGATGGAGGAGGACATAAGAGGGCAGGAAACTGTCCAAGAACATGGAGGGAGGAAATTAATCCATGCTTCCTTGGAACACGAGTCTTCCCACTCATACCATGACCATGATCAGTTTCATATCCAGACACAATAGTTGACGGGTGAGAGGAGGGATACAATTGGGTCTCATCCTCCAGAACCTTAGAAATGGCCAAAGGGACGATAGACAAAAGGACACAAAGGCGTGCCTCAAGGTGGGGAACCGGGCCTTCAAGAGGATCGCGTTCCTAAAAATGAAGAATGGAGCAGAAAGTAATTATATGCTCAATGAACTTCTTTTTCTCTTTCCAAGAAAAGATAGCTAAGGTAAAGTAATCTCAACTCGTTGAACAAGCCTAAGGGCTGAAAACCAGAGAGCAAGGAAGGTTTCTTGCCATGTTGCCTGGTTAAGTATTTGGAGTGTTACAGTTACATCTGCAGTTAGGCCATTGAAATCATAAGAAGAATAATGTAAAATAAAACCTTAGTAGTTTCTGGCCATATTTACCCCGTTTAAAAAAACAATTACACAACTATACATAGAAGTTAAAAAGAGATAAATTCATTACTCTTCAAAATTTTACCTGCAAGCACATCAATAGCTGATTTTATAGGAAGTTGCTTTCCATCAATTGTGTTTTCCATGTAAACATCCAAAGCAACCCAGCAGGAAGAACGACCAGATTCATAATTGCTGAGAGAAACTGGTTTACATGATCCATTAGCAACAAGCATTCCAATAATCTGGCGCTTGTCTAAATGGAGTTCACAACCGACAACTCTTAGGATGTTGGCAGAAAATATTTCCAATAATTGCATTGCAGGTTTCAAATCCGAGGATGCCAACCTATGGGCTTTAAGAAGCTCTAGCCTACGTAGGAGGCCATTGAACTTTTCTGGCCTATTAAAAGAAAGTACACAAAAACTTATGCAAATTAATGCACTGATGGATATCCAAAATACATTTTCCACTTCCTAAAACTAAGCATGGGCATGATTGCACAGTCTCACAAGCGCTCTATCGAGATTGCCAACCAAATTCGAGTAATATGCTGGCTTTATTCGCTTCTTAATAACAAGGAGAGCTAATTTTAACTTATATCACTAGACCATGAAAACATGGTCCACAAGATTTCTTTAAGGTGAAAGTAAAGATAATTGTAATACAATACTACTAATATTTAATCATGATTCAACCTTAGTATACACATATGATATTTGTTAACGCCCTAAATTTGCATGCTATTATTTTTCTTCACAACCTTCTTGGGGCGTCAAAAATTAAAGTGGACAGCAGTGGCTGATGTTGTCATACCACTGCAAGCCATAAAGCTTAGTGAAAAGTTTGAAAAAATTGAATGTCAGTTTGCCAAAGAAAATCAAACAGAGGTCAAAGAGGCAGAAATAGGGGTCTTACATATTGAAGTGAACAAGACGAAGTAGAAGCACAGCTTTTCTGCTTTCTAGTAGTTTTCCCAGCACGTCCAAGGCCTTCAAAGTATTCTTGCTTCCCATCTCACCACGATATTCTTTTCTTCCCATATTATGACTTTCTCTGGGATCTATGTCCATATCGTCGCAATCAGTACTTACAAATGCTAAACTTGATACATCCAAAGACGACTTCTGTAATCCCCAATCATCTAATATGCTATCAATCAAACCTATGACAACACTGAAAAAGAACAACACATACGCATGCCCAAGCTCCAAGGTAGGAACATCATACGTCTGAGAAAGCCGAAGGGAAAGATCAACAGATTTTATTATCCTGTCATAAAGAAAACAAGCATCCCACTTTCTTTAGTTGATTGATTGTGAGTTATGCTTGCAATGCAGTAACTTTTTAGCAATCACCCGTTCAACTTTAGATTAAACAAAACACAAAATGCCAACCTTTCTAGTTATCTGATAATTCCGAACATATAAGTGCAAGCATGGCATGGAAATGCAATAGCATAAAATTAGGAACTGGGGCCTCACATTCTTTTGGTTAAAAAAAAAAAAATCATGGTTAAATCAGATAACTAGATATTAGGAACTGGGGCCTCACATGAACAACATGGGTAGGTTTGGAAAGATATTATAGTACGCATTGTATTAATTAAACAATATATGAACATAGCCAACCGCTGCATGATTCTAAAATAATACAATTCGGAGTGCTATTATGGCAATCCAAACACGTCCTTAATTCCCTAATGATTATAAAATAATACAATAACGAGTGCTAATACGGCATTCCAAACGCGCCCTAAAATCCCATATGCGGTATGCCTAAACAAAGAAACAGAGAAATCCAAACAAATCATGCTAAAAAAATTTTTAAAAATAAATAAATAAAGGAGGAACTGAAAGAGACTAACTTTTCTTTGGAAGCATGTGGTGGCAGTGGATCAAAAGAAAGGCCGTATCTGCTTAGAAGCTCTAGATACAGATTATAGGCCTCCGGTTGAGAACGTCGATGAGGAATTATCCTGTGCGAAATGAAGACCAAAACAAATTCATTTTGCAGATTGTTGATTACGCAAATACAGTTCTAGCAAACGACAAATCCAGAACCAAATTGAATTGATATGATCATCTTCATGCTTAACGAGGAGGAGGAGAGAGAAAGGGAAAAACCTGGCGGAGAGGAGAGAGAGGACATGGAAAGGAGAGAGAAGGCCGGAAGAGAGAGATTGTTCGAGAAACTTCCAGAGAGAAGGGCGATTGTTGAGGAAACAGAGATGGGAGACCAAGACCTGACCTAACGCGGGGCTCGGAACTCGGTCGGCCAATTTGCCGACCTCCATGGCCCAAACCAGAGGGCTCTCGTTCCGGTCTTCGCACCATTTCACCGTCTCCACCACTCGTCGCTCGTACTCGCTCCACTCTCTCTCCTCCATTTCTGTTCTCTCTCTCTCTTTCTCTTCCCTAGTTTTGCTTTTGCATGGGAAAACGTGACTTGCAACCGGTGGAATGGAAAGGCAAGGAGTGAAAGGAAGCAGAAACAATTTTGCTATACACCGGTGGACCAAAAATAATTCTGACTAGTCACAATGAAAATCAAGTCCCCCTTTCGCATCTGTTCTTTGGGGTATTAGTTAGCGTATTGTCAAATCAATTTATAATATGTTATGTGCAAAGCGATACTTGGCATCATTTGTACTGTAATTATGCTCAACACTACTGGGACTTGGGTGGAAACATAACTAAACATTAATGATTATTGATATTTGATACCATAAAATAGTTTAAACTTTCACTCATATAATATATTATTTTATACCTGTAATAAATTTTAATAATATAATGTTATTATTAATATCAAATAAACATGATGATTGTGGTTGAGAATCTTCAAATAAACTTGACTTACTCATCATATTTAACTACTTGTCATATTATGATTAGGATATTGTGATAATTTTTAAAAAAATTATATAATGAAAATGTTAGCATTATCTTTTCGCCTTATGGGACGAGTGGTAACATCATTGTGTCCGGTGGAGCTGTGGCCCCGTCAACCTCAATATAAATGCTTAAATACTTCCTTTGAAAGTTTCGAATGAGAGTGATATAGTTACACCGATATTTTTTTTATCGATGAGTATTATTATTTTTGGTATAAAATATTAGTCTAACAGTTATAATAAATTGACTAATTGATAAAAATAATAATTAGTAAAATTATATTGTTATTACGACATGTCATCAAATTTCATAAAACGTAACTATTAAAAATTCGTTTATATATAACTAAATAATACACCAATTCTGATAATCGAGTTTCAAAATATGGTAATTTTCCACTTAAAAAAATATGGTAATGTATGAGATATAATCTTCGTTTTTTTTTTTTTTTTTTCATTTTATGATTGCAACATCTTCTAAAAAGATTAATGAATAACATGTGAGATCCTTATTCATTTATTAATTGTCTGTTGGGCATAGAATAAAAACAAATTTAGATTAAACTATCATGTTTTAGTCCCTCATTTCTGATCTACTAATTACTTTATGCACACATTTTATCTCATACAATAGCATTATTCATCCCACTAAAAATATTGAACTATTAATTCCTACTTCATTTTCTTCAAAAAGAGAACTCCCCTTATTGAATTTCATAATCCAATTGAACGATGCACCAAGTATATCCAAAAATAATGTCCACAACTGTAATAACTACCATGACAATTCCAAATTGAGAGTAAAAACAAAGTGTGTGTTTAAAGCTGTTTTTGAAAACGGTTTTTACGTATTTTGAGAAGTAAAAAATAAAAATGAAAACGAAACGACGTTTGTTTAGCAAATGTTTTGAAAACGAAAACGGTGAAAATGACTTTTGTGAATGAATTAGAAAACAGTTGAAAATTATTTTCACTTTTCTGTTTTCATTTTTTAATACTTATCAATAATATTATAATATATTAATTAATAAACACGATTTCACTTTTTTATTATACTCAAAATAATCTCTTAAAAAACTAATCAAACGCAATTTCAGAATCAGTCTCATAATGATTCTCAAAATAATCTCATTTTTACTTTTTATTAAAAAAAATTATTTTAAAATCAATTTCAAACGCACCCAACAATTATAAATACTTTTCACAATTGATGTATTTAATTTTAACTACTACTATTTTAAAAGGAGACATCAAATAAATGAGTGGAGCAAAGGAAGCCTTTCATTTAATGATTTTTTTTTCTTCCTCAGTTGTCGGTCTACACCTAACCTCATGTCATGCCTCCTACTCACAAGTCACACCTTATAAACGCCTGCGTCTTAGTTTGGTATTGTTTTTTCATCCCAAAATTAACTTATGTTTGTAACAGAAGCTGATTTTAATGTTTGATAAATCTCCTCAAAAGTACTTTTTAAAGAATTTTTTAAGAATTTACAGCCAAAATTAGAAGCAGTCTAAAGACAACTTTAGCTTTTAGATTGTGCGGGAATCAACATAGTACAATTAATGAAACTTTCATAATACCCATAATACTCCTAATAAACTTTAAAATTGACAATCTTTCCAATCTAAAATTCAGACTCGTAATATAATATAATATAATATCATAATAATATTGTAACAAATAATATCATAATTATATTAATAGCTCTAATATTATTATATTATCATATAATATGATATTATAATTATAATATGATATTGTAATTATTGTTTTAAAATATATTATATATTATATTATATTGATATAATTATATTTATTATATTAATAATA